TGCGTGCTTCCTACTTTGATTTGCATTGCTCAGCCGGCGCCGGGGGATGAAGATCACCCTCGTGCGCTGCTCGACTTCCTAGACTAGGGACTCACGGCCGCTCCGCATCGAGCCGCCCCGCTCTGAACATCGCATGTTTCGTTTTCTGCACCTACGCTTTCAGGTTCCTGTTTTTTCTTTTTTGCACCGCGTGCTCAGGTGGCTTGCCACGCATGGTTCCCTCGTCACTGCCTGCTGGCTGCGCCGCCCTCAGTCTCTCCGTGCCCTGCACTGAGATTAGCTTTTTTGCAAGCACCGCGTGCTCACGCCAGGGCCCCGCGTGGCCCCCTTTTCGCTGGGCCGTGGCCGCCTCGGCCTCGCGACTGCAGCTTTTTCAGGGGTTTTGAGCTCCTTTTTTACTCAGGTCGCATCGCACTGCGGGCTGTCCTTTTCGCCCCGGCCGTGGCTCAGTTTTTGCTTTCCGTCTCGCTTGACGCTTTGGTTTGCTTAGGCCCTCATTCTCAGCGCCGAGATGCACCTCTCTTCTTTGACAGCCCTGCCTGCCCCACTTCCTCTGCGCCCTGTCAGGTACCGTGGCTTGCTTCGCCGCCGTGGATGGCCAGGACTCTTTTTTGCCTGTCCTGCTCAGCCGGTCTGTTGTGCACTGCCTGCTTTCAGCCCTTGTGCATTGGTTGCGCACAGCAGCCAGTTTGCTTTCAGCTTTTTTCCTATCTCCCGCCCCGCACCGCCTTGCTCAGCATGTCTGGCATGTCAAGCATCCTGCAAGCACTGCTTGGTCAGAATGGCACTGATCGCGTGGCGGCGTTTCGTCAGCTGACCAACGCACAGACACAGCAGCTCTTAGAAGAGCTCCGCCAGGCGCAAAATACGCGGTTTGGCCCCGCACAGGTGCCCTCAGAGCCCGCGCAGCCCGCACAGGATCAAGCCTGGAAGCTCTGCTCAGCAACGCGATCCCTGGGACCAGCTGCCTGGTACTGCCCCGGCTCAGACACAGCACCGCTCCCAGGGTAAAGGCCGGCGCCGCTACGAAGACTACGATGCTATGCGCGGCCCCGCGCCGGCCCCGCGCTGGGCAGACAGCCATGACGATGGCAATGATGATTGGGGCCAGTGGCACAGCACCGCACAGTCCAGCCACGGCCAAGCCTCGTGGGAACAGTCAGGTCAAGACTGGAGCTACGCACAGCCCGCGGGATATGGACATCCGCCGCCTGCGCCGCCCTCGGAGCCTGCCCCGGCACCGGCACCGGCGAGCCCTGCAGCGTTTTGGCCTCTGCCTCGCCCCCGCCCTGATCAACCGCACGGCGCACTGACGCCCAGCGAGCGGGTCACTACGGAGATCCGCTATGTGCGCTGCAAGAACGGCGAGCTCCGCCCCGTCTTCAAGCACAGCTCTGGCTCCGTCTGCTGCGCCATCGCATGCCAGATCTCGAGCTGTGACTACGGCCGGCCGCCCTGCGCAAAGCAGATCCACGAGCCCTGGGACAAAGACGTCCACGAAGTGCACCGCTGCTCTAAGTGCAAGCAAGCCGGCAAGTAGCCAAGCACTGCCGCCTTGCACAGCACCGCTTTGATTGCACAGCCCTGCCCTGACAGCATTGCACCGCACGCTTCGCAAAAGCCTGCGCCGTTGTTGTTCTGAGCGCCCTCGGCTTCCCCTTGCGCTGCTTTCCCCTCACTTGCCTTGCCTTGCAGGACTCGCACCGGCCCCGCTCGGCCAGCCTTGCTCCGCGAGCTCGGCCCGGCAGGTGCTTAGCCGCAGCCTTGTGGTTTCATGTTCTGTTCTGCTTCGCCTTGCTGCCAGGTACCCCCCCCGTCTTCGTCATCGTCTTCGGCCGGGCTCTCGCGCAACACACTCTGTTCGTTTCGCCTTGCAGCGCTTTGGTTCCTGCTTCAGGCTGCTTGTTCGCTGTCAGGTTAGCCTTTTCTTGCTGCAAGCCTGTTTGCGCCCCGACCTCCGCCCTGCTCTAGCGTGCAATGCGCCGTCGTTGGGCGTCTCAGTCGGCCGACCGAGTGTTGCACACCGTGCCCGCGATGCCTGAATCCAGCACAGCACCGGAATGCAGCGCAGCACAGGAACCTCGGCCTGGCACAGATTCCTGCGGGTCCTCGGCCAGGCCCTTCATCACAGATGATTGCGCCAGCTCGGCCTCGAGTTGGTCCTTGCCGTCGCCCGCGCCTCGGCTCTGCACTGCACACAAGCCCGTCGGCTTTGCTTTTGTGCCGCGAAAGCATGGGAACCTACCGCGTGTGTCTGACCTGGCCAAACCGCCTGCTCAGCTTGCCTCCACTCCGTGCTCTGGAGCCTTGTTTCCCCGCGCTCTCGAGGGGCGTGGCCGCCTGCCCCCGCCCCCCAATAAAAGGTCCCGCATAGCCCCTAGCCCCCAGCTAGGCCCGGGTTTGCCACTACCGCCTCCCCCTCCTCCGCCGCGCAGCCTGCATATCACCGCCCCGCCCCCCAAAGCCGCGGGACGACAGGAACCGCCTCCGGCGGCAGCTCCCGGTACAGTTGCCCCGTCACAGCCTAGCCTCAAGCCTCCCAAGCCCCAACGGGTATGCAATTCTTCGACTCGCGCCCGCGCTGAGGCCAGAATGCAAGCCTGCGGCACCGCCTGGTGTCAGCTGCTGCTCAAGCTCGGTGCGGCCTCGCTACTTTGGCTTTCCCTGCAGCCCTGCAAAGACCCGACTCAGCATTGCCTTGCAGTGGTCGCCACTTTCCGGCCCAGCACCCTCGAAAGATACCTTCGCGTTGCTGCTGCTTGGGTTCTCTTTTTGGAATGCTCTGGCATATCGCTCGTGGCGATCACTCTGCCCTCGCTTTTGGATTTTCTCGCAGCAGCACGCGCCTCGCACAGCCAAGACCGTGAGGTGCACCAAACCTCTGCCGCATCTTCAGTGAAAGCCCTTCGCTGGGTCGTCAAGTGCGCGCAGTGGCACAGCCTAGCTGTGGTGATGGATAGCCCTGTTATTCGGGCATACTCTTTGCGAGGCACCGCCAAGGACCGCCGCGAAGCTCTTCCCATTCCCTGGGCCCTCATAGCGGCTTGGGAGTTTCACGTTTGCACCTCGAAGGCTCCGCTCACTACCAAGCTTGTCTTAGGGGCTGTTCTTCTGGCCGTGCACGGATGTCTCCGCTTTGGGGACCTGCAACGCATTGACTTTGAGTCTCTTTCACTGAGCCGCACGGCCTTGCACGGAATTTGTTACGCAACGAAGACAACGGATAAGGGACAACCCTTTGCGGTGACACTGGCTGGCCTCACCGGCCGCAGCGCGGCATCTTGCTGGGTCCTGCACTGGCTGCATGCCATGCGCACCGCCGTTGACTCTTTGTGGAGCCCCGGCGATGTCGTTGATTTCGTTTGGCTCAGCACTGCCCCGGAACTGAACGCCATCCTGGAACTCAGCCCAGCTTCATACTGCACCGCCATGCTTGCCCTCCGTTGGGCGGCGACCTTGCCCTGGCTGCCGCCCGGCCAGGGGCTCACTGCCCACGAGGCAGCACAGCTCACTTTGCACAGCATGAAGTCGACCGGGCTCGCCTCGGCTGCACAGCTCAGACTTTGGAAAGAGCACCGTTTGACGCACGGTCATCATCGGGACTCTGCCGCACTGTACTCCCGAAACGACGTATTCGCGAGTCTCGATGTCCAGCACAGTCTCAGCGACTCTATGTGCACCGGGTGGCGGGCCGAGCGCAGCATCGCCCGCGGAGGACAGGCACCTATCCCGGAGCCCCGTTTGCACTGCCGCCCGGCCCTGTTCTCAAAGAACTTCCCGCCCAGGATCTCTTGGACCCGCGCTGGGTCTTCTTTGTTACGAGGCATGAGCACCTGCATGCCGCGGCAGCGGCCTCAATCGAAACGGCCGCGGCGCCTCAGCCGACCAGCCCGGATGACATCGAGGACTGCACTCAAGACAAGGACGCTGCGGGGCATCAAGCTTCGGCCTCGCAACACGACATCGGGGACCCCATCGAAGACTTCACGGACGAAGAAGCAGCAATGGTTGCACGCGCCGCCGCGCTGCACACAGATGACACCAGCTCAGCCGAGTCATCCGTGTCCTCGGACCATAATCCGGAGCACCGCGTGCCCCTCATCATAGACGGCGATCAGCGTTTCGCCTGCACAGGCCCGTGGGGCAAGTGGCACCGCGTAGCGATGCCCCAAGAAGGAGTTCCTTTACGCACCGCCTGCGGCATACGCCTCGGTGTCGCTGCTCAGTTCTCGGATCAGCCTCACGGTGTTACATGCAGACGCAAAGCGTGTGCATAGATCTCGCTCCGGACAGCCTCGCTCAGCCGAACTAGCAAAGTATGAACACCCAACTGCCCCGCCTCACAGCTCAGCCAAATTCTTCCTGCCGCTCAGGTCTTGCTGCCGCTCGTCCTCGCACAGTGCCCTCGGCCGTTTTGGGGTTTCTTTGCTCGGTTTTCGTGTGCCACTGCCTTGCACTGACTAGCACGTGCCTGTCCGCAGCCGTTTTTCTCTCCACTTTCGAGCGACCTCGCCAAGGGTCCCCCCTCTTCTGCCCGCTCTGCACAGCATGTCTCACGCTTGGGACAGCGCTGAAGCTTTCGCAGACCTCTTGCGCAGCCTTCAGGTGCCGGACCAGCTTAGCGCTGCACTGCAAGAATCGGGCATTTCGCACCATCCCGGACTTTGCGTTTGCTTACCACGGCGTCGAAAGTCTGGATCGGTTTTGTGGTCCGGATTTCGCGCAGCTCTGGCAAGACCTCGAGATTTCGGACGCGGAGCGCAGCCCGGCTATGGCTCGCCTGCGGCGCGCCCTGCTCAGAGCCAAAGCCCTTACGCAGGCCTCAGACGCGGTCGAACTGCCGGCCCCGGCACAGTCACAGCAAGCCCAGTCCATCAACTCGTGGGCGGAACACGCACCGCCCCGCTTGGATAGCGCCGTTATTGCCAAGCTGGTCACAGATTTCGAGACCAATTATCCCGGGGAATACCTTGATAGCGACGCAATGCCAAGCGTGCGTTTGCTGAGTCTTGTGCACAAGTGGTTTACGCCCGGGAACCGCATAGCGTGGATCCCTTGGCAACTGCGCCTCTCGCAAAAGCAGTACCAGGAGATCATGGAATCGAAATCCAGCAAGATGCTTCGCACGGAAGCCCAGTTTTTGAGCACTGCTCTGTTCGACGAGACACCAGAGCTGCCCGTCGACCACTTGCGCCTTAGCCCTGCCTGGCTCAGCCGCATCCAGGCTGTCTTCCGCAACGCAATTGCACTGTGCAAGGGGGCGCATTTGGCCCGCATCAAGGCTTTCGACAAGAAGGTTCTGGACTGGGCAACGCAATCACCGGCCGACCACTCGCTCCGCACAGTTACCACTACAGAGCTGGTTGCTGCAGACAGGAAGCTTTGGCAAGAGCTCAGCTCCATGCACAGCTCCGGCTGGACGCTGGACGACGCATTGCATGAAATCACCACAGTTCGCTCCGACATTGGCAACCTCCTGCAGCTCCGCGCAAAGCCTCCGCCACCTCCTCAAAAGCCTCCGCCCCGCGGTGAAGTCAACAAAGGTAAAGGCAAAGGTAAAGACAAGACGGGCCGAAATACCGGCACCCAGCCCGGCAAACGCCACAGCCCGGGCTCGGGCACCAGCACGGATATCAAAGATGCCGCCTTGGTCCCGTCGCACAACGGGCGAGTCTTTTGCATCCGCTACAACAAAGGCAACTGCCGCAACGCACAGTGCAAATACTTGCACGCATGCGCCTTCAAGCTCCCGTCAGGCGAGCCTTGTGGCCGGAATCACCCGGCCTGCAGACACAAAAACCCGCAGGAGCCCAGCTCCTCCTGACTAGGTTCTGCCTCTACCTCCTATGCCTCTGCTGCGCTGGCGGCGACGGTCTGCAATCCCCCTGCTCAGCCTAGCCCTGGCCCCCCTAAAGACCCTAAGGCCTCGCCTGCCCTCGAGCCTGTCAGTCCCAAACCTAAGTTGCCAGGCGCCCCGACCTCGCAAGAAGGACCTGCACCAGCGCTCTCTCCTCAGATGCCCACTTCCTGCGCCGCTCGGCCTGCTGCGCCGCAGGACAGACAAACTGGCTTTGCTCCGCCTGCCGCACCGCAGGCAAGCACTGACTCTGAGGAGTCCTCATCCGCAGAGGATGACCAAGCCTCCGACCTTGCCAAAGCCCCGCCCCGCTTAAGCCTTTGTATACTAGGCCCTGCTTCGGTTGCCCCCCCAGGTTTTACGGATAGGGATCACTTCGCAGTGCAACGCACCGACCAAGGTGCCCTGTCCACGCCTGACTCTCTGGCGCGCCTTTTCCAGCTCGTGTGGTCGGGCATCCTGGGATCTTTCTTTGTGATGTCCACGGCCTCCGCCCTCTCGGACGCCGAGCACAGCCAAGCCCGCGCCCTGCTTCGGGCTGCGCACTTGCAGGGGGCGCACGTTAACTTTCTCTTCCCCTCCCAAGCAGAACAGCCCCCGCAAAGTGCATACACGCACCTCTGCCAGGAGATAGCTTCGCACTGCCGCGAATGCGCGGACTTCGGGCCCAGCGCCGTCTTTTGCTCTTCTGACTGCTCCCTGGAGCACTTCGAAGTTTCGCGTTTTTTGCCCCGCCATTACAAAGCCAACTGCTCCGCCCTAGGCCATGCCGACATCGCTCTGCACAAATTTCAGCAATTTTTGCCGTGCACTTTCCATCCAGTGCGCATGCCCACTTGCGACGGCGCCGGCCTTTTCAGCTCCGCAGACCACGCGGCCAATAATGTCTCCAGCAAAGCCCAGCCCTTGGCCAAGCTTGCGCTGGATATGAGCAAGTACCTCAAAACACAAGGTCTAGAGTCCGTCATCGCCCAGCACCTCGCCGAGGCAAAGGAGGGAGCACCCCTCTCCGACTACCACGGGACTGTGCTAGCCGAGCTGGTCCGTCTGCACCTTGCACCGAAAGTGCCCTGCCAATCTTTCTTTTCCGTGGCTCCAGGCCAGCCTTTCCGCCTGCAAGTCCTCAAGAGCATAGCAGTGGCCCTGCAAGACAGGGACAAAGACCTGCCCGACCTCCTCGCGGAAGGTGTCCCCACTGGAGCCTTCGAGCCACTGCCCAGCAGCCACCAATGGGTTCAGGTCCAGCACTCTTTGGACTCCGACGCAGACTTCTCTGGTCCCGCACTGGAGCACTGCAGGGGAAACTGGCTCGCCGCAGAACAGGAGCCGGCACTGCTGGACGAGCTCATACAGAAGGAAATAGAAAACGGTTGGGTGCAGGAGTTCGAGGGCTCTGCAGAGGAGGCGGCCAAGCACTGGCACTTGGGCACTGCCATAGGTAAGCTCAACGTGGTCACCGCTGAAGGCAAAGACCCCCGCCTAGTCCTTGACAGCACCGTGTGCGGCCTTAACCCGGCAGTGCGCCTCCCCGAGAGGGTCGCTATGCCCTCAGCTTCAGATGTGCAACGCACCTTCCTCGCCGAGGATGCCTTCGCTCAGTGGATCGCACTGTCGCTCGACTTCAAGGCGGCACACAAATGCGTCAAAGTTAGGCAAAGCGACCAGGGCACCCTGCTCTTCAGGCACCGCGGGCGCCTTTACTACTACACGGTCTGCCACTTCGGTGCACGCTTTAGCGCCTACTGGTGGCAACGCACAGGAAGTCTCATACTGCGCTGCGTGCACGCTCTTCTTGACCGGCACCCTCACAAAGCCTGGCTTTACGTAGACGACTTGCTCGTTCTGCTTCGAACTTCCCACTCGCACTCGGGCGCTGCCCTCATCGTCGCCCTGCTCGCGGCGATCAGGGCGCCCATCAGCTGGAAAAAGGCACAGTTCTCTACTCAGGCCACGTGGTGCGGCTGGAAGTTTTGCACTGCGACGGAGACGGTCGAACTCATGCCGCACAAGCTCGCCAAGCTTCGGGAACAGCTTATAACAACTTGCACCGGCTCAGCAAAATTCCCCGCAAGTCCTTAGAAGCCGTGCTCGGCCTTCTAAATTGGGCCACTACCATGAGCAAGCACCTCCGACCTTTCATGGCTCCGCTTTACAAAGACCTGCGCAGCGCCAAAGGTACTCTGCACAGCATCGCCCCGGCGGTCTGGCAGCAGTTCTACGACGGCCTCGACAGCTCCGCCAGGCTAGCTCGGACGCCCGCCGGTTCTTGGTTGCCACGCAATGCACAGCTACTGGAAGTGGGCTCTCTTAAAATAAGCTCTAAGCAAGACGTGCCTCGCGTGCCGCCCTCGCACAAGCACCAATGGGTCAGACTGGCCGACCCCACCCGCCAAGAAATCCACCTCCGCTCCGAAAGCAAGTTTGTGCTGCAATGGTTAAGTCTCTGCTTTGCTCACGAACAGCCTCGCTCTCTCAGGTCGGCCCCGCGCATGCACTGCCTCAGTGCCGCCGACGCCTTTGCGGATAAGGATCGCATGGGCATAGGTGGCTGGCTCAGCACTGCACAGCATTTCATCTGGTATAGTGAAATCTTCACCGCGGAGCAAGTCCGCGCTGAGTGGCCCCAGCTTACAGGCAGTCTGCAACCTTACATAGGCTGCTTCGAAACCCTAGCGCAGCTAGCCCTGGCTCAGTGCTCCTGGCAACTGCTGCGTGCTCGGCATGTGCGTTTTGTGCTGCCTACTGCCAGCGATAATACCAGCGCTGAGGCCGGTTTGAATAAGCTCTTCAGCACCGCCGAACCGCTCGGCACCTTCCTGCGCCTCGCCGCTACGTGGGCCCACTTGCACCGCGTGCAGTTTCAAGTCGAGCACCTTGCAGGCGAGAAGAACACTTGGGCCGATGCCCTCAGCAGAGGTCGCATCGCTTTCATTAAGCATCGAAGCGCCGAACGCACTCGGGTCTCGCTGACTCAACTTGCTTCCGCTTCGCACAGCGTCTCCCTGCACGGTGCTTCTACCGCATGGCCCGCCTTGTTGCAAGATGCCACTAAAGCCATGCTGCGATAGAAAAGTGATCATGTGGACAGCCTCGCTAGGCGCTGGCTGCGCTGCCTGCGTTGACCTGCGGTCTTTCCTTTTTCAGCCTCCTGCTGCCCTGCCAGGT